AGTGCCGCTGCCAGCAGGTAAAGCCCCGAGAAGCAGCCGCCACTCATTATTTCCGGGCTGCTCAGAACTGATTTTCCTGCCCCTGCCCCCACCCCTACCCTTGCCAGTGACAGTGTCAGGGGCCACAACTGGGCTCTCCTTTAATCACCTGAGCATCTCAGTGAGGAGATCAAGTCACGGCCAGGAGGGGTGGCAACCAGCAGAGCTCACCAGTGGCTAGAGCAATGTTCTGACCCCTCCCAAGCTCTGCAGAGAGAAAGGGGCAGGAATAGCCAGGACCAGAAGGCAGGAGGCGACAGTCAGGGCCAGGCTTGTCTCAGTCTAGCTCCCTAGAATCCCTCTCCTGAGGGACCCCTCTGCTGGGCCCACCCATGAAAGCCTCTGTGGACCCACACCAGCCAAGCGTGTGCTGCGACTCCAGGGACGGCCAAGAGGATGAGCCACATCCTTCTTTGGGATTGATCAGCTAAATCTAAGCTAAGCTGAGCTGCTGATTCCTCTAAGTAGCTCAAAGGAGGATGATGGGAGTATTAAGGGAAAGGAGAGAGGATCTGTGCAGAGGTGGGGAGGCAGAGTCCTGCAGGGCCCTTCTGTCCCTGCCCCTCCCTGGCTGTGCCAAATGGAGCTGGAATAGGTGTGGGCAGGCTTGTCCTTAGGCTGTGTTGGCAATCGGGTTTGCAGCTGGACCCGCTCGTGGTGCACGGACTGCAGAAAAGAGTAACAAAGGAAGCACAAAAGCTCGGTCCAGGATCCTAGAAAGTGTTGGGTGTGTACAGGCCAAGGTTTCTCCTCCCCAGGCAGGTGCAGGCCAGACCTGCTATGCTCAATCTTAAAGAGCTGGGGCTTTCCACCTGTGACCCAGCTGCTGTGGCCAGCCAGTTCCAGCAACAGAGCAGTAATGCAAAGCACACCGGGTCAGAGGTCAGGAGATGTAGGCACACTGGGGCTTTGCCACCATGCTTCTGAGTGACTCAGTTCGTCTGTGACCCTGCCCTGCCTGTAAGGATTCTAGGATGGCACTGATGTGATATGATTTACAAATAAACACACCTGCTGTGATTCTTAGTAACAGTGAAAATACGAGTTCTCACTGAGATTGGAAAAGAGGCCCAGGGTTCCTCAGATTCACCCAGGGCTCACCCAGGGATGAGGAGTTGGGAGGGAGAAGGCAGGGGGCCAAGTCAGTCAAAGGGGGTGCACTCCAGAACTGGCTGATTTCCTAGGTGACTTTGCATTCACCACTTCACCGCTCTGAGCTTCACGATGCTAATCTTTAGGAAAGGTAAATGATCCTGCTCAGAGTGTTCTAGGTACTTTTTTTTTTTTTTTTGAGACAAAGTCTCGCTCTGTCATCCAGGCCAGAGTGCAGTGTGCGATCTCAGCTCACTGCAACCTCTGACTCCAGGTTGAAGCAGTTCTCCTGCCTCAGCCTCCTGAGTAGCTGGGATTACAGGCACCCACCATCCTGCCTAGCCAATTTTTGTATTTTTAGTAGAGACAGGGTTTCTCCATGTTGGCCGGGCTGGTCTCGAACTCATGACCTCAGGTGATCTACCCACCTCAGCCTCCCAGTGCTGGGATTACAGGCGTGAGTCAGTGTGCCCAGCCACGTTCTACATACTTCTGTGGTTCCAAGCATATCTCCAGCTCTGGGTCCACTTTAGGATACAGAACTGTGGGGTCAACCAAAGTCCTTCTGAATGTGCCCAGAGCCTGGGCAGCCTAAGTCTCAGTGATCTACCAAGCTGCACGCAGCAAACCCTCATTCTTTGACTCCCTCGGGCCCAACCAGACATGAAGCTGCTGAAGTCCTAGAGATCGACTTTTCCAGCTTGCTGATAGTTGAGTAATTTTCCAGAAACAGGACTTGGCCAGTTTCCCTGCATAAGGTACCAGCCCATCCCTCTTACATAAGAAAATAAGGATTGTTTATTCCCCCAGAGGATTTAAGAAGCCAGCTCCTCCAGGGCGGGGCTCAGAAGATCCCACAGCTGAAGTCCCCAGGATCAAGGGTCTTTGGCCCAGTCTGAGTGGGAATGAAGGCTCTGAGGGGAGGTTTAGCCCCACCAGGCATCTGGTTCGGGGGCTGAGGTGAGGATGATTGCACGCCTCTGTGGTCTGAGTTCCCTCAAAGTACTAAAATGGATTTGTGTGTGTTCAAGGGGAAGAGAGTCAGGCAGGTGCAGACAGAAGCAGTCTTAACTAGAAATACACTTACTAGGGTTTTCCTTTTTTTTTTTTTTTTTTTTAAAAGACTGTCATGTCGGGCGTGGTGGCTCACGCCTGTAATCACAGCACTTTGGGAGGCCGAGTTGGGTGGATCACTTGAAGGTCAGGAGTTCGAGACCAGCCTGGCCAACATGATGAAATGCCGTCTCGCCAGGCACGGTGGCTCACGCCTGTAATCCCAGCACTTTGGGAGGCCAAGGCGGGAGGACCAGGAGGTCAGGAGATCAAGACCATCCTGGCTAACACGGTGAAACCCTGTCCCTACTAAAAATACAAAAAACTAGCCGGGCG